GAGGAGGGGAACAGTGAGGATCGGGTCGAATACAGGGGGATGGGGGGGCGGGGGGTGCTAGATTTCCAACTATTAAGGAAGGTCTGGGCCGCAAGGACACGGGGGGCTATATATAGAGAAATGCATGTTGATATTTGGCCAGGCCTGCGAGGAGGGGCTGGAGGGGGGGCCTGTGCAAGCGTGCCTCTCGTGGCCGAAAGCAGTTCGGAAAGGGATTCAACCGCTCGGTCAAGGCGCTTTTCCTCGCTACGTCATTAAGTGCTCATTACTTGAGATGGGGGTGACGAAACCGGACGTTGCGCTCGTCAATCCGACCAAAGTGGACGGCCCTTCTGCTGCTGGCCAACGGTTTCGAGACATGGACGAGTCAGTTGTGGAGCATTTGGAAACAGTCTTTTGGGCTTCATGGATGTTGACGCAGAGGGAGGGAGGGAGTGGGGAGGGGGACGGGGAACTTAATCAATCAATCAGTCAGTCAGTCAATCAATCAATCAATCCTTTACAGTACCTCGGCCCCGATTACCACTCGCAAGTCAGTACAGTACAGTAGCCTTCTCGATTCCATGTTCTACGCCCCTTCTAGCTCCGTTACGACGTCCTCGCTAGACAAATCTACGCACCTGCATGCTCGATTTCGTACACGGAGGGAAGGAAGGTCGTGGATCTCCTTTCCTTTATAACTCTCGATTGCAAAGAATGTCTTGTGCAGTTGGGAATGAGGGAGATTGTGTCTTCCGGAACGGGTCCTGGTCATGGATCATCGGGGGATTCAAATGGACGACTGCGAGGAGAGGAGGAGGAGGTCGCAGCTTCCTCGCCTCTTTCTTACTTTCCGTTGTATCCGTTTGGGAAGGTTGTACGGTACAGTGCTCAGCTTTAATCCCGCGCTGTTGGAGCTTGACCACGGATCTCCACAACAATTTCAACCTGCTACATCTTAAAACTGCTAGAGCGCGCATTAGGTGTAGGCTTGCGATAGATTTTATCTGGCACCTGAGACAAAGCACGGAAATTGGAGCAACCGAGGAATGTCGATCATACCACTACCTGTGGTAATATATATTTTATTGCTGGTAGAAAGATTGATCGCACCAACCCCGCCACTTCCAACAAATATCTGAACCATGTGACCTACCGAGTATGTACACTCGTATCCATCCGCTCGAGGATCCGACTTTGGCATTAGCCGGGCGACTGTACAGAGGACATGCCCTTCGCTCTGGAAGTAGGTGGTGCTTCAGATTTAGGACCGGATGCGAGAGGATTTGCTCCTCTTTTGTCCCGGCAGATGAATGTGGAAGGGATTGCGATCCAGACGAGACCGACTACGGATATTGTAGACGTGTTATGCACAGTCTCTGCGCATAGGGCATTTATGTTTGCCAGAATCTTGACATCAATGTACGATCCGGGCTGAAGGGATACGTCTCAATGAGTGCGTTCGAATCATGATAACTTTCCGTGTTCAAGTTGAATATAGAGCGGAAAAAGAGAGAGCTCGGAGGTGGTAGCAGATACATTGGTGTCCATTTTGTCCAAGTGCATCTATTAACTCCGGGATTCAATGTCATTTACGGAGCTTAATGTACCACGGCCATTCGGCCATTCGCCCTTTGGCCTGCGCCAACGCATGTCCGTCATGCCCATGATATTCCTTGTTCGATTTTGCCGGGAGTGTCCATATGTATGTACAGAGTATGTATCGTCTAGGGCACACGTATGTCTCACCGCATCCAATGGAACGCTTCGTACGCTGCCAAAGCCTGCATCGGCCTGGAGTTTCGCCCCCACACATGTGCAGAGAGAAACTCGTTTTCACTTACCAAAATATGCAATCTTGCTCTGATTCTCTGAGTCAGTGTCCTCGAAGTCCTTGCAAAGCAGGACGGTACCGACGTCCTTGCCAAGATCTGATTTCCTCTTCGTCCCTTCCCAAAAACAGGTCGCAGATGCAGCAAATCCAATTTTGCTCGGAGCATCTTGAACCAGACCCTTGTTTCTGGTCGCAATACGGTGAAGCTTCACATCAGCAACTGCTACGGTGTGCACGATATCAACTGCTGCCTATGGCACGCTTCCGACTTAATACTTTCAAACACGAGCAAATGTCAGAATGCATTTTTCTCCTCGGGAAACGTCTTGAAGCCAGAGAAGAAGGGATGAAGCATCGTTCCCATGATTGTTAAAGGCTAGAGCTAATCATCCTTATCATGACACCGAAAAATCTAACTAAGTGACAACCATAAGAAATATAATTTAAAAAGAAGCACCCTCGAAGAATCTTCCGGTTTGATGTCGAAGATGTTGCAACCGAAGCGTTCTTGGAGACCCTCGACGAGAACATGAAATTAAAAATATGGAGCACAGGGAATAGCCATTGCTCATGGCCTTCATACATAATGATGAGGTTCCGGTGCAAATCACGAACGCTCTCTATCTCCGGGCAAGCGTGTGCTCGACGCTTCCTCCAACTTGCGGGCGAAATGAGACATTGAGAAAAAGTGTACACGATGCTGCGATGTGGTCTAGAGTTGCGATGTGCATGTTGGTCTCGGCGGTACCTTTACCTTTCGCAAATCGCTTTTTGTCATCTCCTTTTTGCGCCGGTCCTGCAGAGTGAGGGTGTGGAGTTCGGATCTTTCTGGCAAGTCACAAAATCAATCAATAGCACATCATAAAACTGTTATCAAAATACATCCCATCTGCGATTCTGCTTCTTCTTCTATATAATATATAATCGGATGTTACAGAATTCAGTCGACTTTCTTTCTTTGTAGTCAACATTTAAACGTGTCCGTTGAGCTTCATTCTGCTCAGAAAATTAGATTCTGTCAGCCAGTCACCTACTACAAGATGTCGTGGCAAGATAAATAGAATTATCCGACTAATATAAAATTTAATAGTATGTGTCAGGGGCCAAAATACTGTATTCATTGATGGCGATTGTATAATAAAGTATGTTGTCCTGCAGAATGGACCAATGAAGAATGCTTCATTGTCGCTAGCACGGGACCGCGATGCTGAGGGACGAAAAATAGGAAGCACCCCGACCGTGGGATACGATGCAGAGCAGGAGAAACCAGATGATGGGGATTCGCGAGAGGGGAAGGGCAGGAAAAGTATGGAAGAATCTTTGGCAAGACAAACGATTTAACCAACTTACCAAAAGAAATGCGGAATTATTGCGGAGGATGTGTTTGTTCTGCTTATGGCTAATTGCGTAAGCAGCGAAGCTCCGAGCAAAGCAGTGTAAGCAAGAAGAGGCCGCAACCATGGGAACAATGACCATACGGGGCCAGACATACAGGACTCGCGGTTCGATGAGCCCAGAGGAAGAGATACGAGGCCGACCGGAGTCGTCGAGATGGAATCAATCTGACACGACTGCGAATCAATGCTGCGATCGACGTCAAAGCAGTGGAGTGTGAGAGTGCCGGAGGCAAAGTCAGCAACATATGTCCGAAGTATCTGTTCCAATTTCCGCCAACATGTTTCACCATTTGTCATGTTACATGTGGAAGAATGCACGCAGTTTAGCCGACTTGTCTGTCATTAGCCATCTTGTCCCAACGTCATGAGCTGACAGCTTATCATGTTCCAGATGTTTCTGCCCACTCCACCGTCCGCCCATAATTTTCCCGAGTGATCAAGTCCCCCCGCCCGCTCCCCCCCAAATCTATAACGAGCTCCCGTCCGGCGTCTACCGCTTCTGCTCGCGGTCATGGCTCTCCTCCAGGCGCACAAGCCTAAAAATGAAAGCTGCCGCGACTGCTGCAGGCGCGCCAGGGCCGAGCATCGGGACGCTTGCGCGGCAAGAAGACAAGCTCCTGCTTTTGCCTCGAGCTCCAGTACACACACCGCGCGGAGCCAGTCGCGTTGCCGGAGAGGCATTTGGCGGCGACTTTGGAGGCGCTTCGGCCACCGCCCCGCCAACGCCCAGCGCGACCACCAAACATACTCCCGGCTGCGAACGATAGGGATGGACACGGCTCGGCTAACAGCTCGCCGGCTAATATTTTTTGTTACCCGGCTAGTCGATTAGCCGACGGCTAGCCGATAAATATTGCCACCACTATCCGAGGCAAAAAACGAACCGTAAACTCGGCATGAATTTTTGTTTTCGGCCGATTATTTCTCAGATTCGGCCGAAATTATCACATTAACATTTATTTCGGCCGAATATTTCAGTTGATTGCAATTTCGGCGATAGACGATTAGACGACGGCTAGCCGGCTCAATTTGAGGCCCTTGCCGACTAGCCGGCTAGCCGAAAGTTAGCCGGCTACGTGCCCAGCCCTAGCGAACGACGCAAGCGGCGGCCGCCAGCCAACTTGACCCCGGCTTTAGCAAGGGGGCGCTTTGGCGGAGAGGGATTTGGAGGCGACTTTGGAGGCGCTTTGGCGACCGCCCCGCCAAGGCCCAGCCAAACTCGAGGACCAAACAAACTCCTGGCCCGGGGCGGCCGCCAGCCAACTTGACCCCGGGTTTAGCAGGGGGCGCGTGGAGGACGTTTCACGGCTCCACAGTGTACGAGCCGGGGGGGAGGGCTCGGGTCGTCGGGCGTGATACACATGGACCTGGGGGGACTCGGGGTCCGCTGCGCGAGGCTAGACGGCTTAGGCTGTACCTTATTTGGGGTACACTAGCTGCCGCTGCCGCTCGGTCCGCGTGGCTGCTTGCTTTCTTGCTCTCTGCATGGATTCCCGATCTTTCTCAAGATTTGTGTATCGGGAGGCTGGAGGTGCACAAGCGGACAGAAGAACGGGGTAGGTCACTCGGACTCTCGATTCATTGGCCCTTGCTGCCCGGCGCGGGGTCTTTTGCCCGGAGCTCCCCCTCCCTTCTCCTCCCCTCCCCTGCGCTCCCCTCCGTTCCCCTCACCGCACCACTACTCCCACCTTGGACAGCAGCCGCGGCAGGGAGGGCCGCCCGGTGGGCCCCGCGTCCTGATAAGCAGTCTGTGAGCTAGTTTATTTCTCAGTCCCCCTCTCAAGCTTCCTGGACTTCTGTCTGTCGCTGCTCTTGGGTGTAGCTTGGATCTCCTCTTTCCGCGTGGCTGGGAGTGGGTCTCGACGGAGAGCGAGGGTGGAAGGAAGGAAGGAAGGAAGGAAGGAAGCTCGAGGGAGGAGGAAGAGGAGCAGATTCAAAGAGCAGAGGTGCTCGAGCTCTGTGATCCATATCTTCGCGGATTCTTTGAAAGATCACGAGGGCTGGCCCGCGTTTGAGACATCGCGCATTCTTGGAGAGCTAGTGATTTCAAAAGCGGAGGAGGTAGATCGCCGAAAGTCCGAAGATTGGCCGCCCGCCTCGGGTCGTCTCTTTCGATTTTTTCCTCTTCTTTCCGGTGTCGATCTTGTCGAGAGTCTGCGGAGCGCGAGAGCGAAGGGCGACGATGGCTGTCGAGGAATCGTACCTGTTGGCCATGGAGAAGTCGGGCGACATGGAGAGCTGCCAATGTAAAACATCCCCCTCGGATGAGCCCGAGGGGAATCGGTGCCTCGCGCAGGTCTGCAGTGCGCGGTTCGGGAACTGTGTGGCCCTCGTGCTGCTAACGATGAGCCTCGTTGCTGGGGTCGTTAAATTTTTCGATCACAGAGAGTTGTACCACCCTATAATCGCGCACCTCGAAACTCTTGTCCCCATTTCCAAGCCGCTCGTGGTGGATGCTACACCCGCCGAAGCTGACATTTCCAAATCCATGTACTTCGATATCATGGGCTTCGGCGACATTCACAGCAAACGAATCACCGGCCCTGGGAAATTGTACCAGTCTGAGGGCCAAACCGTCGTGCGCGACGGGAATGCTTATCTCACGTCCGAGATAACGACTGATGAGAATGGAGTGGTCCCGACACCGCACAGTGTGGGTAGGCTCATGCATCCCAGGCCGTTTCGCGTCAAGCATCGAGGGCCCAATCCTGGCCAGGAGAGAGTGGTATCCTTCCACACGACCTTTGTGTTCTCCATCAAGAATTTGCTCAGGGACAGAGAGGCGACGGGAGACGGTTTTGCATTTTTGATGGTCCCGGAGAACAATGTCATGGGCAGTGGAGGTGGATACCTAGGCGTGATGAACTCGACCGACGATGCCCACACATTTGCTGTGGAGTTTGACATCTGGCAAAACCCTGCATTGCAAGACATTAGTAACAATCACGTGGGCATCAATGTGAATAGCATGGTCTCTGTCTTAGCCGCGGAAGCAGGTTACTGGAGTGAAGATAGGCATGCCGATGAGACCCACCGATTCAATCGTGTGGATCTCACCTGCGGCCAGATTCAAGCGTGGATCGACTATGATGGACTTTCTCAGGAGCTGACTGTCAGCATCAGCCCTGAGTTGGGATCCAAACCTCAAAAGCCTCTGCTTTCCAAGCACCTGGACCTCACCAATGTTTTCGAAAAGTACATGTACGCCGGCTTCTCGGCGGCCACGGGTGAATTTTCGGCGAAGCACATCATTCACAGCTGGAAGTTCGAGAAGCATTCGAACTCACACCCAGATGGCTTCACGGTTCCTGAATTGCGAAATCCTCATCGCAAGCGCGCTGCCCCATATGTTCCTCACCATTACTCGGCTCTCGTTTTTCCTCAAGACTTGAAGTCATGCACAGATGCGATTCACGAATTTTCGGCAACAATCTACTCCTACTTCAGACGCTTTGCTTCAGGTTTTCTTTTGGAGGCGAAGGAAGTGGTGGATGATTGGCCCACTGTCCTCCTGGGCATCGCCATAGGCTGGCCTCTCATGCACATTTTACTTTTTCTGTATCAAATGTGGGTGGGACGCTGGTTCGGTCCAGTGGAATGCTACGAATCGACGAGAGAGCTGCACGATCTGGCCAAAGTCGATCAGCAGGGACAATTTATTCTCGTCGTGAGTGAATCTCAACAACACCCGAGGTTGTGCAGTGTAGTTTGACTTTACCACTTTATCATTCTTATAACAGAATCTAAAAGTAGATAAACAGACGTGAAAATTTTGTGTGGACTACTCGACGTTTCTATGTATCATACCACACTCTGTACAGCTATTCCGATTCGGTTTACCACCACCATAGTCAGTTTACAAGCTAGGTATATATACCTCCCGGGTTTGGAGCTTTAGTTAGTTTAGGTTTAAATTGTTCATATATACTTTCATGGCTCCTTATATTGAGGGCTTCTGATCGAAGACCCGTTGAATGAATTGAATACAACGTGAGATTTGTCAACTACTCTCGTCTTTTATCTCCAATTTCGTCTGTGGATGACTGTTGCCATGATTTTCTGTGTTCTCTGCATATTGAATCTGTCCATGGTTCTGTGGAGGCCTTCAATTTATCTCTAGCCTAGTCACTGCATTAGAATAATTCTTTACTATTGCCACATAGAAATGTTGCAGATTGTTTTCTGGTGTAAGAGTAGCCGTGCATGAGTGTTTTAGCACCATGAAGTATCAGTGACAAACTTTCGGAGCTGTCAGGAGAAATTTGTGTAGCAACTTTTCTCGGTGTGAGGAATGTTGCGGAACATGTGGAAGATGATATATGGCGGGTGGGGTTGTAGACAACTAACCACCACCTCTGTATGTGCTCGGCGGATACATGAGCCAAGATTGTCGAGGTCCATTCAACGCGTATATAGTTGTAACTGTACAAGTAAGTTTTCAATTATAAGCAGTGCCCATCGGATGCACTTTATGTTACTGTTCTTTGATATATCAGCCGGTGGAGCTTGTGGTACACTGAGAATGGGACATGTCACACAAGGTCAACTTCCCGGTCTGAGTCGGAACATGTATGCTCTGCTTTTAGAAGCATGTTACATGCACCAGAACCTGGTTCGTGGTGCGCACACTGACGTGGCCAAAGAAGCGTTATGAAGTCAAACCTTTGAGTTGCGTGAGCCTGCGGTAATCATTCATCCGTCTACATATGTACCGGAAACGTTCCCAACAAATGAGCCCCCTTTTTAGCGGTTCCCCGAGTTGACCGACTTGTAGTAGTCTGCGCTCAATGGTTAGAGCGCGTCAATGGTTCCTATGGATCCTGTTCTGTTCACTCTTCTGCTGAACGTGGAAGTATTAGGGACAAATTTGGATCGCAGATATTAATTCTCTTGAATATTCCGAGTTGACCATGTACATCTCGAGGTTGTGGTGATCGGCAGTGCACAGTAATATCCTGTAAGCAGAATGTGTTGCAATTTGATAAGCAAGCACGACTAACTAACAGTACCTTTGTTGTTGAAATTCGCGTCCAAGACAAAAACCTCGCGCGTCTTTGAGAAGAAGATGAAATGCACATCGTCACTCTGGCGTAAGTTTGGCAACCACGACCTGTGGCGAATGCGACACTTTGCGGGGACTGTGTCTTTACTTATAAAATAGTGCGGCATAAACTGCAGAGCCAAAAATTTGGTCGTGGACGCATAAAATCCAAGCAAATGAAACCACCTCGAAAACTGAATCCAAGTGATGGCTATATGCTACGAATCGGTAGTCGTAATGATACCCCCGACAGTTCTACCAAACTGGCGACGTGCGGAGCCGCGACTACAAGACGCTACACTTTATGAACGTACTCTTCAACCATTTACCCGGTTCGCTGCATCGAGATCGTACCAACAAATTACACGTCTATCATTCAGCGATCGGACACCACATTCCTTTCTTGGTGGAGGCACCGTTCGGACGGTGAATCGGCCGCAAAAAGGTCGTTTGGAATCTTCATCTGAGAAGACGACGTTGAAGTGATTACTTAAGTCCTTCCACCATGAAGTGAATCTCTCCGGTACAAGAGCCGCATCTCATCTCGACATTCTTTCACATGCTCGGCGACGTTGTTATTGAAACTGCTCCGATATAAAAGTTCTTATGATATGGGAGTAACGATAAATCGACCGCTTGTTGATCAGATGATAATCCTCCTAAAGGGGATGAGTAGGAGATCAGCTGGACAGCATCGACTTTTGGGTGGGACCTTCCGTGAGTCCTTGATGCTCATGCAATATGGCATCCCATGGACTCATCAAAGAAAGCAAACAACTGGAAATATAATAACAAAATATACGTGTGGAAGTGTCCAGTGGCTTTACTCGAATAATACTGAATAAAAAGAATGGTCATCTGTAAGCTATATCCATGTCCGGCATGAGCTAGTGAAGTCTGGGCAACTGCAAACAAAGTATCAAAACACTAGCAAATCATTGGTCCAACTGAAATGTCGATCGATATACACAAACTGTACTAGGTAGGTTCGAATCAGAAACTGCGGTCAATTGCAGTTGGTTACTAATCTCTTAACTGGGCCATACGTGGATAACGTAACTGCTAATGAAGAGGTAGACGATGGTTCGATTTTCCTACGCAATAAACGCCGGCCTGAGGAACTAATAAAAACTAAAATGCAGGAACTAATAAATACTAAAATTCGTAATTAGATCGTAAATTGATGGGGTCTTCCCAATCTTTTTGCTATTTTACTGTGTCCCACATCCAAATCGACGGGGATAAGCACTGCAAGCTTATGCAGTGTAGTATCAGTTAGAGAGATTGCTGGCGTAGAGATGAGGTCGTGATTGTTTTGGGCATTTCGTGCCCCACAATCTGTTCTTCCTATTACCGAGGCCGAATGTCTTAGCAGCTGCTTTTAATCCACTGACCAGAGCCTGCTTCTTGCCCTTCTTGATACCGAGGGAAGTGTACGTCTCGTCGACGATCTTCGCCCCGGTCGTGCACGTCGGAGTGTCTGAAGGTTGTTCGGTGATGACGATCGTCGATTCCGCGTCTTCCGTGTTCTGATTTGAGTCCTGCGACTCTGCGTGCTCTGGAGCATCGTGTTCTTCCGGAGAGATTTGGAACCGAACTTCCTTCTTGGCTGGCGTCTCGCTCGCTCCTTTCACCGGACTCTGGTTCGAGTACGCCGTGTAGCTCCAGCTCTTGCTCAGTTTGTGTGTCTTGATTGCTTGTACGTGTCTACTGCCGCATCTGCTGACAGAATCGCTGATCATGCAGGCGTCGAATTTGTTCGCCACCCGGCTGGCGACGTCTTGCAGGTTATCGGCGTTCTTCACAATCTCAACGACGGTTTCCAGTCTCATGAGCTCCGACAAGGACATGACTGCGACTTGCGAGTTCGAGCCGTTCTCACTTTCGCATTGCTCCGCATCGTCGATCGCTGGCAGTGCTCGGATCTCTGCTCCTGGACTTTCGCGATGTCGCACTATCGCATTTGCAGGGCCGTAGCAGGTGAAATTTCCCAAAAGTAATGTCGCCAGGACTCCAAACTTTTCAGCCAACGCGAAACCGGGCAAGCACTGCTGCTGGCCCCTGAACTTGGCTTCGACCCCATCGTCCACCCTCGGATACGCTGGTCGGACGATCTGATGCCCTGGACCTCGTAGCTTTCGGGAACCCACACTTGAAGTCGACAAGAGTAGCCTGCGCTCTTCGAGATTCAAGTCCACCGATGCAGGTTTGAGATATCCCGCACACCTCGGTTCGTGAACGAGATAAATCACTTGTATCAAGCTTTGGATGCCCAAATCCCTCGCCACCTACATCAATAAAAGTGATCTGTCATGGAACACAATCTCCGAGCAGAATCTCAAAGCACCACAGTCATAGAGTAACCATAAGCTTCCTCAAAAATCCACAATCGGCAGATTTCTCTTCACATAAACCAAATTACTCGATCATGAAGAACTTTGTACTGCAGACATTTCATCGACAAACCGAGTCTGAAAGACGCAGAAGACATGGATGCTTGAGAGAACTGAGAGGCTATTTTAAAAAGGAACATACCTGAAGAATAATCGCAGAAGCGTCCAACCAGCGCCAGAGGAAAGAGGTCCAATAAGATCTTTCTTCAGTGGTGCTCATGAAGTTATTGACTCGGAACCTCACACCATCTAGAGCAACTTTGGCTTTGCAGAACTTAACGACGACGTGCAGAACCGGAGTGGGGCAATTTACAGGATAGGACTTGAGCTCGAGCAGGAGTAGCAATGAGGTCTTCAACACGGCTCTCAACTTCATCAGATTGGTCACGAATTCCCCCAGTCGCTCGGACAGCTGAATGGCAGTCAGCAAGGGAAGAGCCACCCTCTCTTCCTGATTACTGATCAGATACACCTTCTGATCTTTCATACTGCACTCCCTCATCTCATCCCGCATAGTAACTAAGTACAAACGTCACGCTCACGCCGTGCAAATCCGCCCTCTCGCGCGAAGAGAAACCTCCCGCTGTCGCTCGCGGTCGTTCCTCATCACACGGCCCCGAAAGCCTCGTTCCAGAAATCCGTGCAGTCTAGACAGCAGCACAAAAGGGTCAGACGAGATGCCAAGTACAACTGTACATCTCTCGGTCGGTCCGTAAATTGTGACAATCAACAACTCCAGGCAGTTAGTGCTCCAGGTTGATTCATGATCGGAAGTCCGTGCTCGAACGCTTCACCTGCTGCAACGCAACGCAGCGCAACGCAAATCAGATGCAGCAAACCTGGTGATAAGCACGAGATTCACGCCCTCGATGTCAGCCTCCTGCTTGCTTGCTCTTTTGCTCGCTGTCTGTCTGTCTGTCTGTCAGTGCAGTCCAGTCCAGTTCAGCCCAGTCCAGCCCCTTGGGGTTCACCAGGGTTAATCCTAGAAACAAAAGTTCGAACTACTCCTACGATTGTCGCAAGACGTAGGCACCCCGGAGCATGCAGCGTTCATGCACCAGCGAGCTCACAATTCTCGAAACGACACCCACCCTTTCTTTCCACTTCAGCTCCAGCTACACGACCATCGACGCAATCCGAACCACAGCTCATCCTATTACGCTCGATCCGCTTCTCTCCACTCTGCACAAAATTCAACGAAAGTACTCAGTGAGAGCTGCTGCTCTCTCCGCCGGTATTCATATACTCGGAACTGCATCCAGACGTTTGTCGGTCGGCCATCGTCTTTGCGACCTCGCAGACGCCAATTTGGACGATGCATGTTCAATTCAAAGATCGTCCACTTCTCCGATTCGAACTCGACCTCTTTCTTTCCGTTTCTTCAACTGCTGTAAACACATCTCATCTCATCTCATCTCCTTCCATTTCCTTTCGGCCTTTGCATGCAAAAACATACATACAGTATATCGTACTGTCATTCGTAATTTAGACGAATTCAGACTGTATACGAAGCGGTAACCAGCGGAGGGAAGGGAACTAACCCGTTGCGAATATCAGGTTAGAGATAAGGCAATGATATTTGATTTACCATCTCTATCATATCGCGTGCAAAAGGCTAGTATGGACTGGAAATTAGTAAAATAATGAGCTCATCTACACTGCGCTAGCTTATGCACTTGAGGCTAAGCAGCTACTCGCCTAGGCCTGATCTTTCTTTTAAGGATTGGCGTTGCAGTGCTCTGATTTGATTGTACACTTTCGTTGTGAACCTTCAGTTTTGAATCTGAGAAAAGCGAATGTTACTGGGAATTGTGGTCTGTTACCCTCGAAGCAGCCTACGCTGTGTTCCGCTTAGAGTGATTATTACAACGACCACACCGCACGTGATTCCAAGCCAAACTGGTTTCTGCAATTTTTATGGTCTGCCAGGTACAACTGTTGCTCTCGCTTTCATTTTACGTGCTTATGTGCAAATATTCATTTGTATGTAATCAAACATATTATGAATGAAATATGTATGAGACAATTTTCTTCGAATAACCCTAAAAAATGATATTGAATGGAACACTGATATTTTCAAATATTTTTTGATGATATGTATCGAAAATTAAAATTCATAGTCCTATTGAATTCATTGATTCTCTCCTGATGATCTTTCGATTTTTCAGTTTTTACCATATCAATGAGCTAAGCTCATTGATATGGTAAAAATCTTTCCAAAAAAATCAGCACTAAAAAGATGCAAATATAAAAATACAGTATAAACAGAAATTACTCGAGTAGTATAGTTTTTTAAAACTCTCAACGCTATTGCAAGATTTCTTTGATTTTTTCTTATTGCAAATATTTATTTGCTTCTTGAAATATTGATGTGTGTCCCGCTATGGATAATTTCTGAAATATATTTTTTTTTTAAGCACAAAGCGTTGACGGACGTTGACATACTCAGTTAGCCTCCTCTTTACTTTGTTGTGCAAGTTAACAGTTATGATCATACACATAGGATTTATGCGGCTAAATTATTGTATCAAGATTTTACCATGACAAGTAAGATTAAACTCCAAGTTAAATACTCCCGATACAGTATCTATTTGATTTGGTTTGTTTTCTTCTTAGATTATGTGTTTGCGATTTGCACTTTACAATTCTCTCATCATTTGCGTGACGAGTTTTAAATCATGTCTCCGGTTAAACTCTTTGTAGATTTTGCTCTTGAGGATTTATGCTCAGGTCTAGGTCCCTCGCCAAGTTTATTGCACCTCGTATGTTGCTCGTCATGGCTTCATAAGATAAATCATTTATATCTGGATCATCATGTGCAATCATTGTCATGATTGCAGTTGAAAGTGTCTTCCAGTATGTGAAAGTGTCTTCTAGTATGTAGTGCTTCATCCACTACATAATTTTTTTGTATTATCATACCTTCCCTTGCTTTATCAAATATTTAGACAAATATAGAAGATTATATTTCTATCAGGATAGTATTGGTTTCATTTCATTTTATATCTTGTTTCTTAGACTTCTCTTGACATGCAATTTAGCAAAAGATTATATTATAGTTCAAAGTAGCTCAGCTCATATGTAGCAAATGTTTATTTGACACTCAAAGATTCAAACAAGTAATTTATAAAAAAAACCTAGAGCTTTTTGCAACCAGTGTAAATAAAATTCAAAGATAATAGAATTTGCCAATCATAGATTATTTGATTTCTTTGTATATGAAGTGAAATCAACATGGTTACACACCGAATTCTTTTTGGATACTCTTCTTTCTTGATCAAACATTATTGATATGGACATTCATGTTATTCATGAAGTAAAGATGATATCTTGGTCTTACACAATTGGTAGAACAAACCTTTTGCTAGCCTTGAATATTGTACTTCACTATTACTGTATTGTTTGAAATATTCTTTCTATCTAAAGAATACATTTGCAATTTGCATTGATTTTCAATTGATAATTATGTAACGCCTATGTACAAGTCTCTATCATATATTTTTTTTAGATTTAAATTATTCCTAAGTAAATTCATCATTTAATTCATCTTCAAATTTCAACCATAAAGACCATGAGAAAATATAACAATATTTCATGAATATGTAATTAAAATAAGAGTGAATAAAAAAAATAAGGCTAAAAATATTTTTTCAATATTGCACTTCAAAAATATTACCCAAAAAGTAACTCCATATATCACATCGCATCTTATGTTGTTTATACAATACATGTAATTGGGTTTATATCTTAAAATGTAACAAGAAAACACAAAAGATTATTCACGCAGACACGAGGCCAATAATATAGGTGATTCAATACTCTTTCTACCTACATCCACGTAAGCATAATTTGGATCAAGTTACATCTCACCAATCTATATAATCTGTTTGTAAAATCCTAGACTTAAGGAAAACTATAAAATCAAATCAATCTAATTACACTTAAGTTTTGACTTGATATATCACTAACATAATAAACAAGTGTGATACATCTTGACACATTTGAGTTTAAATTGATGAATATAATAGCGATTGCATAGGTATAAAATATAGATGCATCATCATTATTAAATATTTTAGTAATAAATAGGTATATTTTTCTTGATTTTTATTACTAAAACATTCAAATCAAATATAAAATAAAAAGCTCATCTAACAATCAATACATGTAAATAATTAATAAAAGAAAAAAATATAGTTTCAAACATCATTAAGACAAATAGATGAGTTTGTAAGTTAATTAAATTGTATGAGAAAGTAGATACATATTTTTTTCTTATATATACTAAAATAAGATATATGCAAAATAAATTGCAAAAAAACCCCTCAATTGATTTTAGATGTTAGTAAACTATACAAATTTTTGGAATCAATGCATTTTTAATAATAATACAAATATTATTTAATATCTATTTTTTTAAATAGATTTCAAATATTGAATGATTTTGAAAAGTATATTGTGTGGATGAGTATGAGATCATATAAAAAAGAAGAAAAATTTACATGAATATAGGTTAAAAAATTAAATATTGTTTTAAAATTGAATATATAATAAATATCAATAAAATATAATTAAAATTTTGAAATATCATTTTTTATCAAAACAAAAAAACTCAAATAAATTTAACATTCATGATCTTTTAAGATTTTAATTTCAAATGAATTTTTGTTGAATCAATAATTTTTGCAATGTAAGACCATTTATGACCAAAATGCACAAAATGCATTTGATGAAGATATTTTCAATTCATCAATCATGATGGTTCAAATAAATTGTTTGTAATATGCAAAGTATGAGTTTTAAGTTATTTGCAGATGATGATATTTACATATCATGTTTTATTGTATTTTTTTACTATTTTTCATTTTATATGTTTGTTTAAGACAAAAGATTCAAATTAGCAGGCAAACAATACAAATATGTTTGATTGACAATTGAAATTGCTATGATTTTTAAATTTGAAATAATTTTATATTTGAAAATTAAAAAATTGATATTGAATGCAATTTCAAAACTATATTGAACTCTTTTTCATTAAATTGATCAAAAACCGAATTCTTCACTTAGCACAATCATATTTAACTTCAATAAAAGAAAAAGTTGTTGTGCGAATACATATCGCTATACACTCTACATCGCTGACATGCTACTCACATACACATACGCAAACACATACACACATATAAGGCGCGAGAGAGTACACACTCAAATGTCACAACTGGTTTCCAGTCGGGAACGGCTTGAAGAAAGTTAGTTCTTCGAGTGAAATGAACGGGAGATTCGCCACTGGAATTCCCGTCGGTCGATTACCCTACTGGCAACAAACCTTCACCGTCACAAACATGAGTCAAGCCCAACCCACTCCACATTCGGAGAATCTAGATCGACGCAAAGGGAAAAGTCGCTCTACGCTCCCAACGCTTCTAGGCTCGACTCGAGGAACTAACTTTCTTCGAGCCGTCCCTGACCGTATACCCCTCGTGATCCGAACACTAACTCCACATCTAAATATAGTAAGTGCCCAGCCTGCGTGAACCGACTCGAAACTACATTACAAAGTTCAAAGCATACCAAAAAGCATTTTTGTACTTATTCAAATCATCTCGTATTTTAATCACAACTTCAAGAATGCATTCAAAAATCCATAATTCATAAATTTATACAAATTTTGATCATTTTATCTTGATAAAAATATCATGCATATTTTTATTTGCAACAGTATTATTTTTTAATATTTCATTTCACAATATTGCATCTAATTAATCAATTTATTCTCTAAAAGATATATAAATTTAAAATTATTTAAATTTGTTGAATAATTTTGAACACTTGCAATTTTATTGTCAAATAACTGAATTTTTTTTTCTTTTGATATTCTCATAATTTTTTTATTACAATGTCATTTTTTAATTCTAATGAAAATAATGACAAATTGATGATAAATTTTGCCGACATGTTGGATGTACTAACATTGAATCAATGCTAAACATCACAGCATAGGTGAAAAATTCATACCAAACAGAATAAAATGATGTTAAGTTTTTATTTATTTTTTCATTTGTGGTTGAGTATGCCAATGCAGGTGCAAGAGCAAGATTGTAGAGTTAGAATTGATAGAATTGGATGGGGGAACAGATTTGGAGAGTGAAAAAAGTATGATAGTGTGACATTATAACTTTGATTGTGAAACAGAAAAAAGTAAGTTAAATAAAATAAATAAATATCACTACTTCATCACTTCAATCAAATGAGAGTTTTGAAAAACAGTTCAACTTTGCTTATGTCTTGAAGATTTTTTCATTTAATTAAAATTTTTTATTTTATTTTTTTATAAATCTATTTTTGCAAAAAAATTAAATAAAAATTGACATTTGAACTTTGATTTAATATTATTTTTC